TTTGAGTTTTGCGAGTTCCCACCTTTATCGAATCATTCTTTTGGAATTGAATTTGAGTTTGTTTGAGGACAAACAAAGATCCAAGTCCGGGGGAGTTGATGAGTGGAGATTTTGGCTCATTTTAACCTGTGTTCACTAATTGTTTTAGGAGTTTTTGGAGTCTTTTCAGGAAGTTTCAGGTGACTTAGAGGCCTTATCAGAGGATTGGAGTGTTTAGAAGGCATTGGAGCAAAAGGAGATGAATCTGAGCAATAAGGAGATATTTCATACGCTTTTGGAGAAATCATCCACGGAGCACCTGCTCCCGGTTTGGACCCTTCGTGGAGCACCTGCTCCAACCTCTGGAGAAAAATAAGGTAACGATTTTACCTAATCCTAAGTTGCGTGAGATGGAATAAAAAGCCCAAAGCCGCCTGTGTTTGAGGGTCACGTTTTTTCTACAGACTTTCTACGCTTTCTTTTTACAATTTTTGAACCTGCGAGTTTTTACTTGTAAGCTTTTGGGAGAAGAAATCTGCTACACTTTGAGAAGAATTCTGAACCCTATTATCTCTTCTGCGATTTTAATTCATGAATTCATTTTCATCTGTTGCTGTGTTTCTCTTTTCCATGTCTGAGTAGTTCTCTTAGCTAGATTAAAGCATTCAAAGGATTTCATGAGTTAAAGGATTAGATGCAAATAGGGCTTGATATCTATTGTCTTCACCATTGTTAGACGTAATGCTTAGGTTGAATTGATCACTCAATCTGCGATTTTAGGTTAATCTATTCATCAAAAGTGTAATAGGTTGCTAGAATAAACATTGGTGAGCGATTTGTCCTTAGCCAATGACAGTTGAAGTTAAGGCTAATCGTGAACAGATCAAACCTGCTAGCTAATGCTTGTCTGCAATTTTCTAGGTTCAAACAACAGTTTAGGATTTAGGTTGTTAGACAAAGTTATCGAGATCACGACAGTGGATCGATAAGCTTTTCTTTATGAGTTCGAGACTTGCGTTACACTCGTGCCTTGAATAGTCATCTGGTTCTTATCTCTGAAATTCCTAATAATTGCTTTGATCTAGTGCTTGTTTTAATTCGAATTTAAATTGTTGTTTGCCGTTCTGTTTATTTTTTTTGTTTTCACAACAAATCATCTTTGTCTTAGCTTTAATTCAATCCTCACAAAGTCATAGAGTAGCACTGGTCCTCTGGATTCCGAATCCTTTATATTACAACTACATCACTGTTCTATTGCAGTAGAAACTAGGAGTATATCCAGTGTGAATCAGTCAACTGGTCAGCCTTTGGATTTTTCATTAGTCGGATCTAGACTGAATCTGCAGCAGTGGTCACTTAGATGAAAGGTCAGCACAACAATTTCAGGAAAAGCATCATAATCTCCAACAGGTTTGGACCCAAAAACGTTTTGACACGACTGACTCTAAGAAAAACAAACACAATGTCAGCAACTACCTCCCCCAGACTTGAACAACACTGTCCCCAGTGTTATCTAGCCTGAAGTTGGTGAAACAAAAGAAAAGAAAAGAAACAGAGAAACACAGGAAAAACGGAGAACTTACCTGGCTGCAATGATGGTGTCGCGCGACACTGATGATGGTGTCGTGCGACACTTGTTCTCTTCGTACCAAATTGCAGCAGACCAATCCGAATTTGTGTTTTGACTTCGGTTTCCTGATTTCCTAGTTTTTTTTTTTCATCACAGAAGCAAGTGACAAGCGATACCAAAGGTGGTGTCGCTCGACACCAGCCTCTGTTTCACCTAAAACACAAAAAAGAAAAACGAAAATCAACTGAAACAAAAAGACTTATGTACAGACTTACCAGTGGAGTGCCTTCCACCAAGCGCTTGTTTAAAGTCATTAGCTTGACTTGATGGTGATTCAGGCAGGAGGTGCACCATCCAGAGGAACGATATGTCCATCTGGAATCTCAGCTTTGGCACAGTAGTGCTTCACCCTTTGTCCATTTACTGTGAACTCCCTACTGCCATCTGGTGTGAGGAGGACGATGGCACCATAGGGGCGAACCTCTTTGACTATGAAAGGACCTGACCATCGAGAACGAAGTTTACTAGGAAAAAATTGCAAACGAGAGTTATACAGAAGTACCTGGTCATTCGGTTCGAATTGCCTGGAGAGGATTTTCGAATCGTGATACGCCTTGGTCCTCTCCTTGTACAGCTTCGAATTCTCATAGGCATGATGCCTGATTTCGTCCAACTCATTCAGCTGTATCAGTCTCCTTTCTGCAGCAGACTTGATGTTGAAATTCATCATCTTTATCGCCCAAGCTGCTTTGTGTTCAATCTCCACTGGAAGGTGACAGGGCTTTCCATAGAGCAGGTGGAAAGGCTTGGTGCCTAGAGGTGTTTTGAATGCCGTCCTGTACGACCAAAGTGCATTGTCCAACTTCGCAGCCCAGTCCTTTCGAGTTTTACCCACTGTCTTCTCCAGGATCTCCTTAATCTGATGATTTGAGACTTCGACTTGTCCACTCGCCTGAGGGTGATAGGGAGTTGCAACTCGATGATGAACTCCATGCTTTCTTAGGAGTTTTTCGAAAACTTTGTTAATAAAGTGAGAACCACCATCACTTATAACAATTCGAGGCACTCCAAATCGAGGGAAGATGATGGTCTCAAACATCTTAAGAACTACTGAAGAATCGTTGGTGGGGCTGGCAATAGTTTCAACCCACTTAGAAACATAATCAACAGCAACCAGGATGTACTTATTCCCATTAGAAGAGGGAAAAGAACCCATGAAATTGATACCCCAGCAATCGAATACTTCAACCTCGAGGATGAAATTCTGTGGCATCTCATGTCGCTTGCTGATCTTCCCTCTCCTCTGACAAGCATCACACTGCGAGATAAAAGCATGCGCGTCGCGAAACATTGTAGGCCACCAAAAGCCTGCTTGAAGTACCTTAGACACTGTTTTGAAGGTCACGAAGTGTCCAGCATATTCGGATCCATGACAATGAAACAACACTTCTGGAACTTTTGACTCTGCAATGCATCTTCTGTAAATCCTATCAGAACAGTGCTTGTACAGATATGGCTCATCCCAGTGATATCTCCTCAGCTCTCTCAGGAACTTCTTCTTTGCATAGCCCTTAAAGTTCTCAGGCTCAGCCTCTGCAGCGAGATAATTGGCAATATCAGCATACCAAGGACGTTGGGTGGCAGATACAGCAGCTGAACTGATCTCAGGGAATCTGCTTCGAATTTGAAAAGTCTCTGTGTTCTGCTGCGCAAGGTGTCGCGTGACACTAGTGGTGGTGTCGCTCGACACTAACGTTTCTCCAATTCGAAAGACCTGCAGTTCTTTGTCAAATCTTCTCTGGAACCCAGTTTCCACATAGTATACATTCTCTTCTCGCAGAAAATCGTCTATGGGTACGTCCTCTTCAACCCTGATGCGTGAGAGATGATCTGCAACACCCTTCTTGTCTTTGACCTCAATATCGAACTCCTGAAGAAGTAACACCCATCGCAGTAACCTTGGCTTTGCATCCTTCTTCTGCATCAGGTATTTGAGTGCAGAATGATCTGTGTGCACAATAACTTTCGATCCCACAAGGTAGGGTCGAAAATTTCTCAAAAGCAAAGACCACAGCCAACAGCTCCTTCTGAGTAGTAGCATAGTTCCTTTGAGCTTCATCCAGAGTTCGACTAGCATAGTAGACTGCATGAAGCTTCTTGTCATTTTTCTGTCCAAGGACAGCACCAACAGCAAAATCACTGGCATCACACATCACCTCAAAAGGCAAATTCCAGTCAAGAGGCTGCACAATAGGGGCGCTTATCAAAGCCTGTTTGATCTGTTCGAACGCGAGAAGGCATTCGCCTGTAAACTCAAACTTGACATCCTTGCATAGCAGAGCAGTAAGAGGACGTGCAATCTTGCTGAAGTCTTTGATAAAGCGACGATAAAACCCTGCATGACCCAGAAAGCTTCTAACCAATTTTGCAGAATCAGGTGTTGGCAAACTCGTCATGACGTCAATCTTCGCACGATCCACTTCGATACCAGCTGCAGAGACCTTGTGTCCAAGCACAATCCCAACTCTGACCATAAAATGACACTTTTCCCAGTTAAGGACTAAGTGTTTCTCTTCACAACGAGCCAGAATCTTGCAGAGATTATCCAGACAGTCTTTAAAAGATGATCCGTAAACTGAGAAATCATCCATAAAGATCTCCATGAAATCCTCAATCATGTCAGTGAAGATGGACATCATACATCGCTGAAAAGTTGCAGGAGCATCACAAAGTCCAAAGGGCATTCTGCGATATGCGAAAGTACCGTATGGACATGTAAAGGTGGTCTTCTCCTGATCATCTGGGTGGATAGGGATCTGGAAAAATCCTGAGTACCCGTCGAGGAAGCAGTAGTAGGGGTGGCTTGCAAGTCTCTCCAGCATCTGATCAATAAAGGGCAATGGAAAGTGATCTTTCCTGGTCGCTGCATTCAGCTTCCTGTATTCGATACACATCTTGTGTCCAGTCACTGTGCGCGTTGGAATCAGCTCATCTTTGTCATTCTTCACAACTGTAACTCCTCCTTTCTTAGGAACCACGTGCACAGGGCTGACCCAAGCACTATCTGAAATTGGATAGATGATCCCACCTTCTAACAGCTTCATGATCTCCTTCTTGACGACGTCTTTCAGATTAGGATTCAACCTGTGCTGGTGTTCGATCGATGACTTCGACTCATCCTCCAGGTGAATTCGATGCATGCACAGATCTGGTGAGATACCTGAAATATCATCAAGAGAATAGCCAAAAGCTTGCGATGCTTACGCAGCTTGCTTAGTAGTAAGGTAACCTCGGCATTATTCAAAGAAGAATTGATCATGACTGGATAAGTGGAATTGGATCCTATAAATGCATACCTTAGTCCTGCAGGGAGCTGTTTGAACTCGATTTTGGGCGTTTTCTCTTCACTCCAGTCGGATAACAGCTTTGCCTTCGCAGGAGTCTCAAGTTGTTATATCTGCGCTGCCAGCTGCATCACATGCTCGCTGGAATCCAACATCTTCAAGTAAGATGCTGAAATTTCGTCCAAGTGCTCAGCTTCGGTTGCAGATGTGGTCAAAGCTCTCTCCAGTGGGTCTGTAGGTAGCATCTCATGGAAGATCTCCTCTGCAAATTCTGTGAGAGTGTCGACGTAGAAGGTCTGACCATCGATGGTGGGCTTCTTCATCAGCTTGTGCATGTCAAAGTTCATCACCAGATCTCCAATATTCAGAGTGATCCTGCCTTTCCTGACATCGATGATAGCACCTGCTGTAGCTAGAAAAGGTCTCCTAAGGATAAGAGGATCCTTAGGCTCCTCTCCATACTCCAGAACCACAAAGTCAGTCGGTATCATGCAGTCTCCAATCTTGATTGGAACATCTTCCAACACTCCTTCAGGTATCCTTGTCGATCGATCAGCTAGGATAAGAGATATCCTTGTTGGTTTAAAGTCAGTCATACCGAGATTGACAGCGGCTGAATATGGCATGAGATTGACACTTGAACCCAGATCACACAGCAATCTCTTGAATCTCTCCGTGAAGATGGAGCAATCCAAAACAAAGCTTCCTGGATCAGTCAGCTTCTCTGGAATTCGGTTTTGAATCACAGCACTGACTTGCTCAGAAATCATCATCACTCCTTGTTCATGGCTGAGATTCTTGGTCACCATTCGCTTCACATAACGCCTGATAACAGGAGTGATTTTCACAGCACCAACCATAGGTATCTCAATCACAAGCTTTTCCATCAAAGCCTTGCATCGTGCATCATCTAGTTCTTGCTTGGACTTCCTAGGGCTCCTTGGGTAAGGAACCTTAGGTTTGTAGACTTTCTCCTCAGCAGATTTCGGATTTGGAGCATCAACAGCTTCGCTCAGTGGTTGGTGACGCGCGACACTGGTTGTGGTGTCGCTCGACACCGGCTCTGCAATCTCAGGAACTTCTTCAGGGTCTTCCAAATCCACGACTTCAGGTGCAGGAGGCGTCTTCTTGGGCTCATAACTCAGATTTTTACCACTCCTCAACGTGATAGCACTGCAGTGATGCCTCGGATTGGTGTCAGTCTTCCCAGGAAGGAAACCTTCTTGCCTTTTAACAGAACCTGCAGTTTGGACAACCTCCGTATCGAGCTGCTTGACATGAGTGTTCAAAGCTTCGATTTTCCCATTTAGATCAAGGTAGAGAGCATCCATCTTTCCATTGAAGTCCACGGTGAGCTTCTGCTGACCTTCCAGAATTGTTCCAGCATAGACTTCATCTCATTGTCAGGAGTTTGAGGTTGAGTTGAAGGAGTGCTGTAGTTTCTGGAAAAACTGTTGTTGGAGTAAGGCTTCTGGTACTGAGGCTTAGGCGTGTAACCAGAGAAGTTCTGATTACTGTTGAAGGTACTCCTCTGATTGTTTCCACTGTAGTTCCCACTGTAGTTTCTGTTACCTTGCTGTTACCAAACCTCTGACCCTGAAACCCTGATCCACTGACAAAGTTGACATCCTCCACCTCAGCTTCATCCTCAGGTTTGAAACTCTCCACTTCCTGTGCGAATCTGACAGACTTCTTACCCACTAAAAGGCTATGCACAGAGTCAAGCTTAGCTTTCACCTCAGCAATCTGCGATCTATCCATGCTCCCAGCTTGCCTCTTCCGCTCAAGATCGGCATTCTTGGTGTTATTACTAGACGCCAAGTTTTCGATGAGCTCAACAGCTTCGTCTGGGTATCTGGTGTTGAAATTTCCATTGCTTGCTGCATCAAGAGCCATCTGATACCTCCAGTCGATACCCCTAAAGAAGATACCCAACAGCTGCACATCGCTAAAGCCATGATGGGGGCAGTCTCGCTGGTACGATTTGAATCGCACCCAAGAAGCCTTGAACGCTTCAGTTGGTTCTTGAGAGAATGTCGAAATTTTTGTTCTCAATTCCTCAGACCGAGCATCATCGAAGAAGTTGTGCAGGAAGGCATTCCTGGTCTCTTCCCAAGTAGTGAGTGATCCTGGCTCCAACTGCTTCAACCAGTTAGCTGCTTCTCCAGCAAGAGAATAAGGAAACAGCTTGCAGAGGAGGAAATCATTGGACACTCCATTGTATTTGATGCTGGTGACCAAGTCCTCAAACCTCTCGATGTGGTCCATAGGGTGCTCATGAGAGTGACCATGAAAAGGATGCTGTCCCACAAGAGTGTAGTACACATGCTTCAACTCAAAATCGTTCATTTGAAACGCAGGAGCGCGAATCGCAGACCGATTTGCATAGAACTGCTCAGGCCTGTTGTAATCTCCAAGCGTTCGTCCACGACCAGCGCGTTCGTCCACGACCAGCGCGTTCGTCCACGACCAGCTGCAGGTGCACGTTCCCTCACATTCTGATCTTCTGGAACGTTCCTCTGATTTGGAACGATCACAGCATTACTACGCGGTGCAGGTGGTGGATTCTGGTCAACAACATCCACTGGTAAAGGTGCTGGGGGAATGATGTTACCATCTCCATCAAGCCTTTGGCCTCTCGCATTGCACACATGACCCTCTTGGTCTCTCCAGACTCCAGCATCATCACGAACAAGTCCGTTGGCGTTCTCCATCATTGCCGGATCTTTTGCTTTCCTGTTCGTTCGCTCTAACTCAGCTAGCTCCTCGTTGCTCAAATTCACTAGCGGGATGTCCTTGTTGCTTCTGGTTCCACGAGTATGCATAAACCTGAAGCACCAAAAACAAAGAGAGAAAACGAAATAAGTAAATTATGTTATAAAAACGAAAGGTGTCGCGCGAGTCGCTCGACACTAAGAAAAACTTAGTCGAAACTCAAAAACTAGGTTTAATGGCGAAATCAAGTCCCCGGCAACGGCGCCAAAACTTGATCTGCTCAAAGTTTAATCCCTAAGCTACTCTGCAAGAGCACAGATGTGCAGTTGTAGTATCTAGGGGTCGAACCACAGAGACAAGAGATCACTCAATAAACCTTATAGAGATCGAATTACGGTAAGCAGAAATATTGGAAATAAATGGCAATGCGACAGAAATAAACTAAGTAGCAGTAAAAACGGTTTGTAAGAGTCACATGGATGGAGATTAGGCTTAGGGCGTTTCTCAGGAGATCAATGACTGCAGATCAATCGATTAGCTAGGGTTCAGGTTTAAGCACGGTTCTTGAACTCGAAACACAGAATTATAATTAACCAACTTCCGTTGTGAGAATTATCTAAGTTAAAAATACTAGAATTCCAAATTCCTTTGTAAATCCTACAGATTTAAACCAGCTTTAATGCACAAGTTTGATATGTTCACAAAGTATCTAAACCAAATTCATTTGCGAATAGCTACTTTGCTCACCCTAGGTTCTTTCCACTTATTCAATTACACTTCCGTGTCAATTAAGCAACCTAAGATCTAAGTTCTAGGTGATCAATCCAGAATTAGCATTAAGAACAACCTATGGTGAAGAACAAATCAGATTATGAACCCTAACTAAATCAATTAATCAAACATCCAGAGAAAACCTTTATGAGAACCCTAAACCTAACAAGCTAACTACTCAGACATGGATATTGAAACAACACACATGATTGAATAGATTGCAATGAAAGGATGAATAAAATAAATAAAAGGGTTCGAAATATTCTCTCTAAACGAACAGAGTTCAGACTTGTCTCCCCTAGCTCTCAAAATCGCAAAAGCCAAAAAAGTAAGAAGGTGTCTTGCTCGAAAATCTAAGGTAAGGTTCAAAAGAGACTAAAAACCCTATTTATAAACAAGACTTGGGCTTCTTTGGAAACTTCTGGGCCCAACTCCTTCTTCAAACAGGAAAACAAAAATCGCCTTTTCCTTATTTCTTTAACAAGTGTCGAGCGTCACTCTTCATGGTGTCAAGCGACACTAAAGCACAAAATCCATTCTTGACGAATTTGATCCTGATTAAGCTCCAAACGTACATATGACCTGTAAAGACTCCAAAAGACTCGAAAAACACGAGAAATACTATATAAATAAGACCTATACCATGGTCAAAAACCATAAAAACCATGATATATCACCAAATTAGAGGAACAACATTGACTCGTAGATCTTCTATTCCTGAAGATTCTCCTCCATCTTCTCCAGTTTCACCGGAAAAATCGCCAGATAGTATACATTCTCCATTCTATTTGATGAACGGTGACAATCCTGGTATCTCTCTCATCTCCGAAATTCTTGATGGTACAAATTACGATAATTGGAGCATAGCAATGTCCATTGCTTTAGATGCTAAGAAAAAAGTGGCGTTTATCGATGGATCTGTTGCTAGGCCTAGTGAATCTCATCAGAACTTTAGGATATGGTCTAGATGCAATTCAATGGTAAAATCTTGGTTGTTGAACTCGGTTTTGAAGCAGATCTACAAGAGTATTCTTCATTTTAATGATGCATCGGAGTTATAGAAAGATCTACATACTCGATTCACATCACCAATTTACCTCGTTCATACCAGTTATCTCAGCAGATTTGGTCATTAGGTCAGGGCTCGATGGATTTGGCCACCTATTATACCACTCTAAAAACTCTGTGGGATGAACTGGATGGTGTTAATTGCATCAAGACTTGTCACAACTGTAATTGTTGCAAAGCTATGGAAACTAAAGCTGGACATGACAAAGTCATTAAGTTTTTGGCCGGCTTGAATGATTCATACGCCACCATTAGAAGCCAAATCATAATGAAGAGGCATGTTCCAGACATATCAGAGTTATACAACCTCCTTGATCAAGACCATAGCCAACACAACATAAGTCTGGTTCAGAATGCCACGGCTTTTGCTGTCTCTGCATCTGATCCAACTCAAGGGAGTATCAATGCTGCTCAATCATTTTACATCCCAAAACAGAATCGACCAGTCTGCTCTCACTGCGGCTACAATGGTCATACTGTTGACAAATGCTACAAAATTCACGGATATCCTCCGGGATTCAAGCATAAAAACAAGACTGTGGAAAAGAAAAATGGATCATCTAAACCCGTTGTTGCTCAACTTTCACTTCCAGATGCATCCCCAAAGGTTCAGACTACTCCAGATGTAGTGAATACTCTTTCTAAGGACCAGATACAAGAGGTTATTGCATATTTCAATGCAAAGCTCAAACCATCTGTCAACTCGGTTGATGCTACTTCAACATCTCTTCCTTCTGGTTCCATTACTGCACTTCCTGGTATGGCTTTCTCTTCCACAACCTTTTGTTTTGTTGGAATCTTAAGAGCTACCAGTAATGCATTATCATCAGAATCATGGATTATAGACAGTGGTGCCATACACCATGTCACACATGATCGAAGTCTATTCACTCATCTCTCAGAATCATTGAATGAATCAGTAACTTTACCTACTGGTTTGGGAGTCAACATAGCTGGTGTTGGTACTGTTCGGTTACATGATCAACTCATTCTGAACAATGTTCTGTTTATTCCAAATTTGCGTATGAATCTGCTCAGCATCAGCCAATTAACCAAAGACTTAGGTTATCGTGTGATATTTGATCAAGATGCTTGTGTGATACAGGATCCTACCAGGGGATCAATGATTGGACAGGGTGAAGCCTTTTCAATTCTATACGTGTTGGATTCATTATCTTTTGAAGCTTCTGCTTTGGTATCTTCTCCTTTTGTTTCAAATGTAATAGTTGATTCAAGCCTCTGGCACAGTAGACTAGGTCATCCGTCTATTCAAAAGACTGAGACTCTTGCTCATGTACTTGGAATTAAAGAAAGAAATAAAGGTCCATTTCATTGTGCTATTTGTCCTCTTGCAAAACAGAAGCACTTACCTTTTTATCCCAAGAACAACTGTGCTAATGCTTTTGATCTTCTCCACATTGATATTTGGGGTCCATTTTCTATGCCAGCTGTTGAAGGTTACAGATATTTCTTGACAATTGTGGATGATCACACAAGAGTCACATGGATCTACTTATTGCGAATAAAGGATGAAGTCTTAACAGTGTTCCCAGATTATTTGAAGATGATAGAAACACAATACAAAGCAGTTATTAAAGGCGTAAGATCTGATAATGCACCGGAGCTGAAGTTCATTGACTTATTCAAGTCAAGAGGCATCATTGCTTATCATTCATGTCCTGAATCGCCAGAGCGAAACTCGGTTGTGGAGAAGAAACATCAACACATTCTGAATGTGGCAAGATCATTGATGTTTCAATCCCAACTTCCTCTTGAATATTGGGGCGACAATGTTTTAACAGCGGCCTTTCTCGTAAACAGATTGCCCACACCGTTGCTACAAGATAAGAGTCCTTATGAAGTATTAACTTCTAAACAGCCAGATTATAATGGTCTTCGAGTATTTGGATGCTTGGCTTATTGCTCCACCTCTTCAAAGGGTCGCCACAAATTCCAGCCTCGCTCACGACCTTGTATATTTCTTGGTTACCTTGCAGGTTACAAGGGATACAAATTGCTGGATATGGAAACAAACAAAGTTCATATATCCAGGAATGTGAAATTTCATGAAGAGATATTCCCTTGCATCACAGGTCAGGATAATATCTCTCCTGATATCTTTGATTCTTTTATAGACTCGCTAGGTTCTCGGAACTCTAGGGTAGCTAGTGGAATTCCTGCAGTTGAGAATGAAGAATCTCCTGCAGTTGTGAATGATGACACCCCTAGTAGTTCAGTTCCTGATGTCTGTTATAATAAAGATCAACCTCTTCCCAAACGGCATTCAAAATCTCCAGCTTACTTACAGGATTATTACTGTAATGTAACTTAGACTAATATCCCATATCCCATTGCATGTTTCATGTCATATGATCAACTTTCAGAAGGGTATAAAGACTATATCTGTTTTTTGAATCTTCATCCTGAACCGAGAACTTTCACTCAAGCTAAGAAGTTTGATGAGTGGATAAAATCCATGAATGAAGAACTTATTGCTTTGGAGAGTACTCATACATGGGACATTGTGTCCTTGCCACCGGATAAACATGCCATAGGGTGTTGATGGGTTTATAAACTCAAATTGAATGCTGATGGAAACTTAGAGCGATACAAAGCTCGTTTGGTCGCCAAAGGGTATACGCAACAAGAAGGGATAGATTTCGTTGATACCTTCTCCCCAGTAGCTAAAATGACAACAGTCAAGACCTTACTCGCTGTATCTGCTGATGGAGTCTTAGACAGCTTGATATCTCCAACGCTTTTCCAAATGGTGATCTCACAGAGGAAATATATATGACTCTACCTCCAGCATATACACCAAAGCAGGGGGAATCACTTCCATTAAATGCAGTTTGTAAGCTTCAAAAGTCTCTATATGGTTTAAAACAGGCCTCTCATCATTTTTTTTTTTGAAGTTCAGATCAACACTTCTTGGCCTTGGTTTTCGAAAATCTCAGGCTGATCACACCTTATTCATTCGGAATGTTGCTAGCAAATATGTTGCTGTCTTAGTTTATGTGGATAATATTATACTTGCCAGCAATGATGATGATGAGGTAGCCAAACTAAAGTCTGATCTACAGGCTGCTTTTAGACTTTGTGATCTCGGCCCTCTGAAGTATTTTCTTGGATTGGAAATAGCTCGTTCGAGCAAAGGCATCTCTGTGTGCCAACAGAAGTATATTTTGGAGCTTCTTGACAATTCAGGACTTTTGGCTTCCAAACCATCTAATGTTCTGATGGATCCAAATGTCAAGCCTTGCCAGGATTCTTCAGAACCTGTACTTGAAGACATTCATGCTTACCGAAGACTTGTTGGTCAGCTTATGTATCTCACTATCACGAGACCGGATATCACATATGCTGTCGACAGATTGTGTCAATTTGCTTTTTCATCAAAGAACTCGCATCTCCAAGCTGCTTACAGAGATTTACGATATTTGAAGGGCACGATTGGTCTTGGTTTAATTTGTTCTATTCAGTGAACTCTGATCTTATTCTCAAAGGTTTCACTGATGCAGACTGGGCATCGTGTACTGATACTAGACGTTCAACATATGGTTTTTGCATGTTTCTTGGCTCCTCTGTATATCTTGGAAGTCAAAGAAACAGTCAACTGTTTCTCACTCATCAGCTGAGTCTGAATATCGGGCTATGGAGTTTGCTGTTCGGAAATAGAATGGTTGGTTCATCTGCTCAATGAATTAGGTGCTTCTCAAGATCAATCTGTGGCTTTCTACTGTGATTCAACAGCAGAAATGCATATAGCATCCAATTCCGTGTTTCATGAAAGGACCAAACACATAGAATTGGATTGTCATATGGTTCGAGATCGAGTAGAGAGTGGGTTGGTCAAACTTTTACATGTGAAGACAGGAAATCAGTTAGCTGATGTTTTCACAAAACCTCTGTTCTCTACTCAGTTTCACTCTCTGATTGGTAAGATGGGTTTAAATTCTATATTCTCCCCATCTTTAGGGGGAATATTAGGATATACCGGTTATTTAAACCTCTGTATTTAAATATATACTCATATTGTAACAACATTTCACAATAATGAATAACAGAATTTCTTCATCGTCTTCTTCCTCTCGATTCTCCTTAACTAACAAATTCCATGCTTTTCAACAAGCTTAAGTTAATTTTGCCGCTTTGGGAATATATGGTTTTTTGTAAATACTATACTACTTTGGATGACATAAATTCTGAACCAATCTCTGTCGTTTTATGTGTTTTGTTTCTTTATGAAGTTTAGGGGTATGTCTAGATGAACCAGTGTCTTGTTTGTTTGAATATTATGAAAAGTTATATGATTTAATTTGAAATCGCATGCACTTATCGATTGTGATCAGTTTGTTACAGGTTTTCTTGGAAGTATCTTGAAAATTTCGTATCAATCAATATACTTAATTCTTGTCTAGTTATTTGTTGAGGTGTCCGTTCCATGAGTATACACTTTGAAGCAACATCTTATTTAATTCAACGTCAATTATTTGATGGTTATACAGTACACAATTTGTAAAGATATTGAAGATTGAAGCAATAAAGATATTGAAGATTGTACAAAATCTATGAAAATTATACCCAGCTTTCTTTTTTGTTACTTAATCACGACCATTAACCATCATCACCATAACCATTATTATCTGAGAATCAGTCTGAAGATGCTTTCTTCTGATTCATCTGATTCATAGATTAATATTTTTATACATTAATATTATTTGCCAGCGTAAGATGTATTTGTTAACTTAAGATGCTTTCGATCAAATCGATTAACACGATCTCCTAAGCATTGACTTGTATAACTATTCCATACAATAATATCAAGTCATTTCTCTTGCATGAGTGATATATCATGGTTTTTATGGTTTTTGACCATAATATAAGTTTTATTTATATTTATAGAATTTTTTTAGTGTTATGTGAATCTTTTGGAGTCTTTACAGGTCCAGGTGCGTTTAAAACTTAAGGATTTTGGAGCGTTTTGGGCCAAGTAAGGATCAATGATAGACAAGACTTTTTTTAGGGTCTCAGGGTTATCAATCCCCTTGTCAATGTAGCACAAAGAGGTTTATCAATCCAGATGTGGTGTTAGACACTAAGCTATATGATCAAGTTCTTAATTCAAGCAAACAAGAGTGGGTTTTGATTAATCTAGAGACAACTATAAGCATAAACAGGATTAAAGACTAATGACAATGACAAATGATATGATGTGAATATGATATGATGGAGGCATGAGATTCTAGACATGATAGTTGGTCAGGGTGCTTTGGTGTTAAACTAGAAATGCTAATGACAATGATGAGACATGATTCAAGTGATTAAGAATTCTAATCTAGGTTAATCCTCTCATGAAAGTATTAACCCCTATACTAATCCATTTTCAAACCAAATTTCCATTTGTGAAATATGAATCAATATGCATTAATAAACAGTTCTCAATGATCATTCAAGCATTTAACAAATCATTCCCATGATGAAAAATTACTTAAACCTCTAACACAACTCTTTCAGGAATTTCATCAAACACTTTTGGTGCATGAAATTTCCAGAATCTAGATCTCAAGTGATTATCAAGGATCTAGCATAGAGAACAGTTGTTTAGAGAAATGAACCAATGAATCTAGCCCTAAGCACTCCTAATCTAACACTTTAGCACCCTAACCTACACATCTATAACCTCATTAAGGTGACTACTCACTAATCATGATCAACACACTAAACCCTTTGCAAGATGTGTTGTTAATCATGATTAGAAGTTGATTTTGATGATAAGAAATGATGAACCAGATGGAAAGAAACTGCAAAATCGATTTAAACTCCCTAAAACAAAGTGTATTCAGTGGTTTTTCACAAAAGGGGAAAAAGACTAAAAGTAGATTAAGTCCTCCTCTACAAATTAGGTCTAAAAACCTTATAAAGGAGGCTTGGGCGAACCGGGTCAACCCGGAACAAACCGGGTACTGACCCGGTCTTGATGGGCAAAGAAGGGTTTGCCACGGTCTGGTGTGTCCTTGGTGTGACCGTGGCATTCCTGACCGTGTCAAAGACTTCATTGTGTTCTTGGTTCATTTTGATGCCACGATCTGATCAAGCTTCATCTGGGACTCGTGGCAAGTTAACCGTGTCGAACGCCGAAGATGTGTAAAGGTTGCCACGGTCAAGCCCCCAGACCGTGGCATTCAGACCGTGCCAAAACCCGCATGCATGTGAAGACCTTCCCAGCCAAGTATATGCTTGCCACGGCCAAGTCTCAGGCCGTGGCATTGAGATCGTGTCAAAAGCCGAAACTGTGTAGAAGTTATCTCCAGCCACTTGTTCATTTGCCACGGTCAAATCCCAGACCGTGGCATTAAGCTCGTGCCAATCGCCGAAGGTTTCAAGATGTTGCCACGGCCAAGCCTCATACCGTGGCATTTAGGCCGTGTCAATCGCCGAACGGTTGCTAAGTTCCTCTCAGCCAAATGTGTGTTTGCCACGGTCAAGTGTAGACCGTGGCATGAAGATCGTGTCATTGGCCGAGGGTGCACAAAAGTTGCCACGGCCAAGTGTGGACCGTGGCATTGAAATCGCGGCATGTTTAACTTAGTCATCCGGGGCTGTCTGGACCATCTCGCATTCCGGAGAGTGTAACTTCCTGGAGACTTGTCCGAATTGAGTGATTCCGGTTGCAGAAGACAGAGGACTCATTTATCTCCAACTTTGATGAAGGAAGTTTCAGTGCTTGGGAAGTGTAAGGTTTCCTGGAGGGCATATCTTTGAAGTGCATTTACACGACCAGAGAGAGGCGTCTAAACATGTGTCCATTCCGGAGACCGTATCTTTCTGCTCAAAGCTCCGAATTGACTGATCTCGGATGTTCTAGAAAGAAGACTCAAATGTCTCTGATTCTCATGAAGGCCCCGGAAACTGAATCGGCCTGGAAGTGCACCGTCCTTCGCATCCTTCAAAACTGATCTGCTCGGTCCGGAATACCTGCGAGACAGGGGTTCCTTCCGACTAGCTTATCTCTCTGCTCACGCGTCCGAATTCCACGATTCCACTTGCTATGAGACCGTGCTCCAATTCTCTCCAACTTCTATGAAGGACCCGCCATCTGAATCGGACCGGAAGGCTCCCCGGACAGGCGATTTCTGAGACTCGTTCACACCCGGAGATTTTGGCCGATACACTTCATTCGCGGTACATGGAAATGGCCGGTAAAGCTTCCCGCGGTACATGAAAATGGCCGGTAAAACCTTCCTGGCCAGCGAGAATGGCCGATAAAACCTTCCTGGCCAGCGAGAATGGCCGATAATCTCCCAAGACCCAATTTTTCCACTTTTTTCAAGCTTTGCTCACCATTCCACCTCCTGGATTCATCTTTTCAGCTCCACATTCACCTGATAGACACTCAAAACATGCAATAGACTGATTGGGACCTAATGCATCTCCTAAGTTCTAAAAAAAACCCTAAGGACCTAAAATGCATGAAATAAAACATGATTTGGAATGATTTATGCAACCTAAATGATGCAAATTATGAACATATCAACTCCCCCACACTTGTCCTTTGCTTGTCCTCAAGCAAAAAGAGCAAATGAGAGAAAGAGGTTGTATGCAACGGGAGTTCACATTTTCATTTTGAGAGAAGTGATCACAATGAGAACTCAAGTTCATGCTCAATTATGCAATGCAAAGTCATACTCAGATATATATCAACTCAGCAAGGAATCTCCACAAGTTCTTCTCTCTCTCAACTCTTTCACATTCATTAAGCTTTTATCAGGTGGATCTCATGATGCAAGGTTTAAACAAGCTGGCTTGGCTAGGGAGAGGCTATGAGATTAAAATGATCTCATCAGTGTTCAAGTGAGTTAAATGCAGCAAAGGGATCTCTCTATGAATGATCAAACTTTGGCAGAATGCTAAAGGTAAAAAGCAACCTATGCATACAAGGGCAAAGACTCATCACACCCCACCCTCTACTCAAAGCTTCCTCACTTGCTCAAAATCCTCACTTTTCACTCTCATTTTCCTCTCACTAGGGGATTTACTTTTCACTTTTCCTCTCAAGTCTTGGAACTCAAACTTTACACAGCTTTTTCTTTTCTTTTACAACTTCTAGCCTCTTCTTTCTTTCTTAACAAAACATTTGAGCCTTTGGCTTCTTTTCTTCCCCTTTTTTTTTTTTTTACTTAGAGGCTAGACTCTTTCTTTTTAACAAACCAGAGCTCACTTTCTCAAAACACCAAGACTGATTTCTTTTTCTTTCATTCCCCTAGCTATTTTCACTCTCTCTTTTCCACTCATCTCACCTTTTTCCACTCACCAAAAGGTCTTTTCCCCCACACTTATTCCTCGCCAAAACTCTCAGTTCCTTGATGTTGGAACACAGCACTCAATGAGACCTGCCCTTGTCGCTCTAAACCTAACACTTTCTGCTAAGTTTGATCCAAGATGGCCTTTCAATTCACACACAAACATTGGCTTGAAAGAAGGA